TTTTTTTTTTTTTCGTTTTCTTTTTCTCACGGGAAGGAGAGGAGGATGGACGAAAGTGACTGTGGTAGCACGTGCACGGAGCGAACGGCAGAGAGAAAGATGAAGGGTGGGATAAGGGAGAAGGAAGGAAGAAGAACGACGGACTTGGTGGCGTGCGAACAGCAGGTGCACGACCTCTTCATGAAAACCGTCGCTTCTCCAACTTCGTTCCTTCCACCTCTTCCCCTCCGTCTCATTCCACTATCGATTTCTTTCTTTATCGATGATCGTCCTCGTTCGTCCATGATCCCCGTGTCAATCCTGTTTCCGAGTTCTGAGTTCGTAATTAACAGTTCACGACACATTCAGGGGGAAAGAAGATCAAGAAAAGATCAAAGAAACTGATAGCGATATCTTAAAGAAAGATAAATGCAATCTCGAAACAGCCAGGTTATTATTTCATGTACTGTGGTATACGTACTCCAGTTTATAAATCTGTTGGTTAATTTGCTAAGTAGAATTTTGGTAAAATAAAGTGAGCGATGTTTTACTTTGTAAAGATTACAAATTAGCTGCCCTGTCCCGTAGCGTATGAAACATTATTTACTATTTATTCTGAATATAGTTTGTTGAGTGGCTAAATATGAAAAGACGCCGGATCGTTGTCCGATGCAGCACACCACCCGTGAATTACCCCAATATCAGGCTGCGTTCCTACTTACCGGCTTCTTAAAGCCGATGATTGTTATTACGGCACAGGTAAATTCGTGCTCTCGTGGCGTGCATGACCGCCTGGGATTTTCAGCAGGAATTTAATATCGATGACTTAATTCTCTCAAATCGTTTCGCGTCATATAATATATAATAACGCGGACACTTTCGACGAATAGAAAGCGATCCGAATGTTATTGACAGTATCTGAGAAAAGTTCAGATCACGTTGAAGAATCTTTCGTCTTGTCGTCTGGAAATATTTTTGTGAAAAGTTGAATATTAAACGTATTAAACGTAGTAAACGAAAAGATTAAATATCTAGTTAATATCGTAGTCATTTGAAGATTTGTATTATTTCTGATAACCAATAAAATTCTGTTTCAAAATCAATCCCGCTTGCTCTGCTTATAAATAGGGACAAGAAATCCAGCAGGATATGGTTAAAAATTTTCACGAATTGTCACTTGTTCTCTACGTTGAAAATATAAAAAAAAAAGAAAAGAGAGAAAACGCAGAAATCAATTTACTTCGCCGCTCTTCATCATCAGATTAAATTAAAGCAGCAGAAATTAAAAACCCCCGCCGTACTGACGAAAATCCAATAAGCTTAATTCGTTGGTCGGTCCGCCGCGTTTACCCGGACCGGCACGTTTTGCCCGTTAATTGCCGGTAGTCCGCCGGACAATTAAACACCAATACTGCGGGACGTTAACTCGGTTAAATAGCAGGTTCGCCTGTTAACTCCATTATGGATAAAACTCGAGAAAACGAAGAAATGGGAACCGAAGAGCACACTGCGCCGGGCTCCCTCCGGATTCGGCCGTTACCTCGCTGGCTCCGGTCGTAATTAAAAAAGATAAAACCGGGAGTATTACTTTCGCGGTTTCCGTCTTTATCTCGATGGTGTGCCAATCCATCGTGGTACGCCTAAAAGTACGCCGCATACATAAGTCGGTGCCCAGGCAGAGAACGTATAGCGGTTTCGCCGTGGCTCATTAGCTCGCTATCGCGGTTGGCGCGAGCGAGTGTTGCCTTCGGCCTGGCACCTTGCCTTCGCGTCAGACAGGTGCATTTTCGTATTTTTGTCCTTGTCCCGCGTATCACGTGTGAACTACGGCCATCCTTGTCCACCGGTCCGATAACGAGAACGAACGGCCCGGCGACGAGGAGACCGGCGCGCGACCGTGCACGACGAAGAGGTCCGAGGCACGTGGCACTGAAATAATCGTTTGAATTGCTCTTGCGAGCCGCGTGATATGCAGATCCCTCCGGCAATTGTTGCCTCATCCGAGAAATCATTGAAATTACCACGGTCACTTCATTTTTCATCTATCATAGGCTGGCCCGTTGTTATCATATTGTTGACAATAAATAAGATTTCGCCTGTTACGCGGATTAATGTGTACTCCTCTAGGCTACTTCCGTTATCGATTCTCGATAGCTTCTATCGTGTAAAAAAATAGTACGATAGTCATTTGGCGTGTTGATGACGAATTTTTAATATTTTAGTTTGTTGGATTATTGAATTAATAGATATTTGTTGAGTTTGTAGTAATTTTAATTTTTTATTGTTTCGAAACAGTTCGAAATATTTTTGCAAACGAGAGAAGAACGGTGATCTCACTGAATCGTAATAAGTTTTACTTCGTTTAAAAACTGGTTCGGGCAACATTCCGAATTTGTAGAAAGTTATCAGCGCCTGAATATAGATTGCTCCGTTGTACGCCTAAGAAACGAATACTCCTATCTTGTAGGCGATACCTACACGAATGTTACGTCTTTCATGACTGAATACGTAATTAATTTTTCACTAATTTTAAAATAGAATATACATAAAATTTGAATAATATACTCGAAAATATATTAAAATAATGTTATACATTGTAACAAAACATATTTCACTCGCAGAAAGAATATGCCCCAGTTCTACTATTTTTGTG